CGGCCTGTTTTCTGTTGCTGCATTCCGTGACCCTGAGCGTTAACTGTTGTGCAACTTGGTACCGCTGCCTGGGTTTGCTGTACTGGCCAACCACGGCTTTTGCACTCAGTGCGAATGCCAACACAGTGAAAAAGACAAGTGACGTTTTAGTGTGATCATGAAAATAATTTTTTAAAAATGTATTGGGGTGACATCGGTGAATAAAACCATATAGGTTTCAAGTGTACATTTCTATGGCCCACGATCTGTGTATTGCTCTGTGTGCCCGCCACCCAGAGTCAAATAATCTTTTGTCACCATGCATTAGGTCACCTCCACCCCCTTCTTTCCAGTAACCACCACACTACTGTCTGTGTCCAGGAGTTTCAGTTTTATATCCCACATATGAGTGAAATTACATGGTTCTTAGCTTTTTCTGACTGACTTATTTCTCTTGGCATAATATTCTCCAGTTCCATCCATGTTGTTGCAAATGGTCATATTTTGTCTTTTCTTATGGTTGAGTAGTATTCTATTGGTCTTTTTTTCAGGGGACACAAAAATACTGGAATTATCTTCTGGAGGGTGGGCCCCTTGTAGTACAGGCTTCCCCTGCTAGGTGAACATTCTAGAAACCCATCTGTATCAGTGGACCAGCTGGTGTTGTTGTGAGAGGCTGTGTTTGACTTCAGTGGATTTTTTTGAAGGCTCTTTCAACGTGTTTGCCCATTTCAGGATGGGTGACTCATGAGCGCACCTGCCCACACCGCACTGAGTGTTCAGGGGGTTCTCACCAAAAACAGCAGGACCCCTGTGCCCCACCCTCCCTTATTCACCTGATCTCGCCAGGAGCAACTTTCATTTTGTTTCCCCCGGATGAAAAAAGTCCTCAAAGGGAAGCATTTTGCCAATGTGGAAGAGGTGAAACGAAAAACGACAGAAGCCCTAAAAGGCAACAAAATCGATGAGTTTCAAAACTGTTTTGAGCAGTGGAAAAAACATATCTCCATCGGTGTATTGCATCAAATGGAGAGTACTTTGAAGGTGACTGAAGTTTAAATATGAAATCATATATACACAGTTTTTATAAATAAATTCCGGATGGTTTTTTTGGAGGGGGTTCCTGATATACATGCACCACATTTTCTTTATCCAGTCCTCTATCAAAGGACACTTTTGTTGTCCCTGCATGTTGGTCACTGTGGATAATGCTGCAGTGAACATAGGGGTGCATGAACATAGTTTTGACCTTGCGAATACTCCGACACAGTCTCGGGGATCTCCAGGGGCCCACAGGCGGTGCTTTAAGGACTGCTGAGTGCAGATCATAGGGGCAGTGGGAACAAACTAGAGAAAGATTCCCAAAGAGAAGGTTCTTAAGGGAGGGTCCTTCCGCAGCCAATATGGACAAACCCACCTCCTGTTTTTCTGTTGGGTGGTTTGTTTTTAAGGAGAGCAATTCCCTATGGCTGTTTTCTGTTTCCCTAACACTATCCTGTTATCCTCTATGTCTGATTGTTTTTAATTTTTCTCCCTTGGCCCTTATTTTTATCAACTTCTATTCAATACATTTCCCACCAAAGTTCGGTCTTAGCACTCAGATAGTCTGTGATGTGTTACTGTGCAGGCTACACAGGGCTCGCGGTTCCGGAAGGCACCTCTGAGTGGTGCGTGACACCCCCTCCACTTCCCCAAGAGTGAGGTCTGGGGTGTTCAGAAAAGACACGGAGTTAACAAATGATGAATTTTAGGATAATCCTGCCCGTACAGGCTCCTCATCTGGAGCTCCCAAATGAGGAAAAGGTCCCAGGGACTCACCCTGCCTGGGGCACAAGGCAGTCCATCGGCTGAGTCCGAATCTTGGTGCGGGGAGGTATCACCAATGGGTGCTCCTCTTTTTTTTTTTAAACGTTTAAAAATTTTTTTAAAGATTTTATTTATTTATTTTTAGAGAGGGAAGGGAGGGAGAAAGAGAGAGAGAGAGAAACATCAATGTGCGGTTGCTGGGGGCCGTGGCCTGCAACCCAGGCATGTGCCCTGACTGGGAATCGAACCTGCGATGCTTTGGTTCACAGCCCACGCTCAATCCACTGAGCTACGCCAGCCAGGGCTGGGTGCTCCTCTTAATACCAGGTCAGCAAGTGGAGCGAGGCTCAAGGTCAGCTGAGCTGGAAGGCTCTGCAGGCTGATCTGTCCAGAGCTGGAGAGGCTGGGTCCTGGCAGGGCGGGGAGAGTCTGCCGGGGCAGATGAGACTGTCGCCCAGCTGTCCACAGGCCTTAGAACTCAAAGGCACACACACCGGGTAACCCTGCCTTCTTCATGGCCCAGGAGAGTCCTCTTCAGCCCGCGTCATCAGCTTAGAGAAGTGCCTCCAAACCTCAGTTCCTTCCGTCCCCACCCCCCCCACCTTCCTGAGCTCCGGACCCTCTGACATTCCAACAGTAGAACCAGTGGCTCCAAGTCATCCCCAATTCCAAATTCAACATGTCAAAACAAGTCTCCCTAAAACTGTTCCCTAGGTCATTGAACATCATGAGCATCCACCTAGTTGCTTAAATTAGGAGCCCTATCCACAATTCTAAAATCCAAAAAGCTGTGAAAACCAAAACGAATTTTTTAAGGTGTCATCAAACTCACTTGGCAGCAAAACAAAATGTAACTTGAATGGCGTGAAGCTGTTTGTGGTCTCTATTTATCCCGCTTGGTGAGAAGGTTTTTATATTTGGGGGTAGCAAGAGTAATGTTTGGTTATGAGCACAGTCCCGTACTCAGTAGGGAGCATTAATATTCATACGCACACTCTTACTAAAATCCTCCAAGCTTTAACTTCTGGAACTTATCTGGACCCCGAGTTTGGCTTAGGACCTGGGGTCCTGTGACTGGTGACCAAGTCCTGACTCTGCCCTTCGTGTGGTTCCAGGCACCTGTCTCCCTATTTCCGGTCCCCGGACCACGGGTTGCCATTCTCCTAAGCCCTCCCTCCTATTTCCACAGGCCTCTCGCCGGCTTTCCTGTCTCTCACCTCGCCCTGTCACACCTGCCGTTTCCATGCTGGTTCATAGCATCTTCACGTAGCTGACGCGTCACCATGCTGCTGCTCCGCCCTGAAACACTGAGGCTCCTGCCGCCTGAGCTGCAGTTTCCAAACTTCCGGCATTCCAGGACAGCCTTCTGGATTTCGCCAACAGTACCACTTCAGTTGTGTTCTTTTAAGTGGATTCATTTTTTATTGAATGCATTTGCATGAAGAACCTTATGTTCATTGCTGCAAATGGAACACCCATATTACTTGCCATAACAGAAGGCAACCATGAATGTAAATACTAGAAAAGCAAAACAGTGAGAAACTATGTTTGCCAAAGAGACTGACCGGAGACCTGCTGGGCCCCTTTATTGAAAGAGGTCTTAACGAGACCTAATGTTTACTGAGAACTTACTATGTGCTAAGCGCCTTCCCAAGCCTTTACATCTATTAATCCATTCAATCTTCCCAACTGCCCTCTGAGGCCCATACTGTATTATTTTTCCCATTTTACAGATGAGGAAACTGAACCATAGAGAAGTGAAGGAATTGGGTCAAGGTCACACAGCCAGTAAATGGTGTAATCGAACGGACTGAAAGGAACTGAAAGGATAAGACATTTCTCTTCCTGTGACTCAATGTTATTGGTAGTAAAGTACCCACACTTCAGGGATTTTTTAAGGTTATTTATTTATTTTTAGAGAGGGGAAGGGAGGGAGAAAGAGGGAGAGGAACATCAATGTGTGGTTGCCTCTGGCTCACTCCCTACTGGGGGACCTGGCCCACAGCCCAGGCATGCGCCCTGACTGGGAATCAAACGGGAGCCCCTTAGGCTTGCAGGCCCGCGCCCAACCCAGTGAGCTGCACCAGCGTGAGCCTTCTCCCTGTGTCTTCTGTGAGTCCCAGTCATACTTAGCTCCAGCAACACACAGCATCCCCCAGGGCCCACAGGCCTATTAAATTGCTCCTCCGCCCGGAGTCCAGGACACTCGGCTTACTCGCCTGTCCTGGAACTTTATTCTCTGGTATCTCTAGAGCTAGGTAGGGCTTTGAAACCCCAGATCCATAGCACGGTGTCATACACAGAGTACTCGATACATAGGGAAAAATCAGGTGGATTCACACCTGTCGCGGTTTCCTCCAACATCCCATCAAATAAAGAGGACAATCGCGTGTCTGTGGTTGATGGCGGCCCCTCACGCTTGTGGAAGAAACTGTACACGGGGCAGAATGGAGGGAGAATGGGGCGGAGAGGAGGAAGTCCCCGGGAGGCTGGGTCGGGGAAACACCTGCAAATGAGCAGTCAGCGTAGCTGCCAGCCCTGGAGTTTCTGCGCCGGCTCTGTTCTAGTCGCCTTTCCCGGGTGTAGGTAAGGCCGAGGCTCCAGCACCCGATCGTGGCCAGTGCCTGTGACTTCTAAACTCACTCACCTGTGGGCTCACAGAGGACAGGTAGTCCTTCCCCATTTGCGTAAACAGTAAACACAAAAGACAAACGGGGGCCACCTAACGCGAATTACAGCTTGGGGGCTGTCCGGATCCGCAGCTCACCGCACGGCGGTCTGTAATCCAGGCCCCTCTTGCTGCGAGGTGGATTCGCGTACCCACGGCCGGGCACAGAGGCCCGGAGCCGCGCTCGGATCTGGTCGGCAGCCTGTACTGGGACGCGCGGTGACGCTCGGGAGCCGCAACCCACCTTCCCGTCACGACCTCCAGCCCTCGACCGTCTTCCTGCGCCGTTACTGCTTTTGGGGGAAGAGTGAACTCCCGGACCCTCACTGTTGGCTTAATTTTAACTTTCCCGCAAACTTTTTGCTGAGCCCCGCCTGCTCCGCCTTCTGGGCCAAGTGGGTGCGGCCCAAAGGAGTCCGGGTCGCCAGCAGCAGCGGAGGTAGGGGAGCCCCGAGGGGGCGTGGTGGGTCCGGGGCTGTGGGCGGGCCCGGAGGGGGCGTGACCGGCACTGGGCGGCGGGCGGGCCGGGGAGGAGCGGGGGGCGGGTCCTGCAGGGGCGGTCCCAGGAGGCTGCCGGGCTGAGTGAACTGCAGGCCCGCCGCAGGCCCAGGGCGCCACCATGGTGCTGGAGCCCCCGCGGGCGTGGGGACCGCTGCAGCAGCAGAAGCGGCTGAAGAGGAACGGTGGCTGAGGCCAGGTTCTCCGGATCGTGGGCCCGCGATCCCTCGCCGTACCCGAGCCCCGATCCCTCCTCCCTGCCTTCCCGGGGCGCCGAGGCGACACCGCCGGACCATGCGCGCCCACGGCCGCACAGGAGGCTGAGCCCGCCGCCCCGCGCTCTGCTCGCACCCTCACGGCCGTCCCCGATGGCCTTGCCGGGCGCGGAGGGCGCAGCCGACAGGCCGGTATCCCCGGCCCCAGGCGCCCCCGCCGGCTCCGCATCGTCGTCGTCCGCCTCCTCCAGTGGCTCGGCCTCGGCGGGCGTGGGGCTGTGGGCCGCGCTGTACGACTACGAGGCGCGCGGCGAGGACGAGCTGAGCCTCCGGCGCGGCCAGCTGGTGGAAGTGCTGTCCCAGGATGCCGCCGTGTCCGGCGACGAGGGCTGGTGGGCCGGCCAGGTGCAGCGGCGCCTGGGCATCTTCCCAGCCAACTACGTGGCGCCGTGCCGCCCGACCGCTCTCCCAGTACAGCCACCCTCCAGCTCACCACCGCGGCCCGGCTCGCCCGTGCACGTCGACTTTGAGCGCCTTGAGCTCAAGGAGCTCATCGGCGCCGGCGGCTTCGGGCAGGTGTACCGAGCCACCTGGCAGGGCCAGGAGGTGGCGGTGAAGGCGGCGCGCCGGGACCTGGAGCAGGACGCGGCAGCGGCGGCCGAGAGCGTGCTGCGGGAGGCGCGGCTCTTCGCCATGCTGCGGCACCCCAACATCATCGAGCTGCGCGGCGTGTGCCTGCGGCAGCCCCACCTCTGCCTGGTGCTCGAATTCGCTCGCGGAGGAGCGCTCAACCGCGCGCTGGCGGCCGCCAACGCTGCCCCGGATCCGCGCGCCCCCGGCCCGCGCTGCGCGCGCCGCATCCCCCCGCACGTGCTGGTCAACTGGGCGGTGCAGATCGCGCGCGGCATGCTCTACCTGCACGAGGAGGCCGTGGTGCCCATCCTTCACCGGGACCTCAAGTCCAGCAACAGTAAGTGGGACTGGGGCGGGGTGGGGGTGGGTTAGGGGTCGGTACGTAGCCATGCCCAGCACAGCCCACCCTGGTGCTAGAGCTGGGCGGGCTCCCGGGGCCCACTGCCAGGTGGAATGAGGCGGGGTTGCACCTCCTGAGCAGGCCTTCCAGTACTCAGAGGTCCCGCCACACTCTTCGGTGACTTTCTTTGGGACAGGTGACACACTAACCTTGACTTTGCTTTTGGGTGCCTGTTTTACAAATGCAGATCAGACTTGATTGCAAACACTTGTGACATATGCTGGGTCTTTTGGAAACTTAATGGTGCTGTTTAGCCTTTAGTTACCAGTGTGGTTTGTTCGTTTGGGTAGAACTTTGCAAACCGAGGCCTTCCTCGGGTTATGCGGAACCCCCTGGCCCTCCTTCTGGCCTAGTGACTTTCATCAAACACCCCTTTCCTTCAGCTTCCCAAGCGCTTATTGAGGATGCTCCTCTCCCACTTTAAGTGTGGCCCCGTGCCCTTTGACGTTTCCAAGGGCTTTCCACTCGGAGGTCTCTGTTCAAGAAGTGTGCTTTTAGTATTGGTTGGGTAGTGTGAGTGCTGGTGAATAACCTCCAGATAAGAAGCACCAGTTTTCGACATCGAGCACATTTGGGTTGATGAAGGGCAAGTTCATTGTCCTTGCACAGCTCCTTGAAATCCTGAAGACCTGGCCTGTATCATTTGCTTTCTTTATAAATCTGGGTCGGTTTTCCAGATGTCAGTAAAGAACTGACAGCTAAACTGAACACACATACTATTGTATTTCACCATGTAGAAGAGCCAGTAGAATTGCTGCTTGAAGCTGGTTCTTCGATATGGGAAATCACTCAGTATTCTTAGAATGAGATGAAATCTTGCGACAGGTTAAAGGATGCAGTCAGAACTGGCACTGGCTGCCACAGCTGCATGTCTCTCAACCTTGTAAAACCTGCTAGGACAGGAGCTAACTCAACTGGAAACATTGTCCTTCCCCAAGTCTGCAGAAAGAAGAGTGACAAGGAGATATGATACGTTTGTTGTGTGTTTGTGTAGATGTTTTTTCCCCATTCAAAATCCTTCAGCCCTGAAATTGACTTGACGGTGACCAAGGTAGCATTTTGATTATGAGAGCTGTAAATAATTTGTTGGTAACTTTGTATAAACATTTAATACTTTGGGGTTTATTTTATGACTCCCAGGAACCCCTTGTCTTATCATTTAGATTGCAACTGCTGAAGTAACAGGAGCAAATCTGAACAAAATACGGCGTAGTGAAGTGGCTGCGATAGTGTTTTGTGTACATTAGAGTTCTGACGGAGGCCGCTGGGAGGGCTCCACAGTTATTTACTTTGGGGCTGTGTATGGTAGACACAGTACAAATTTTAAAGCATTTATTTTGGTTAATGCTTCAAACCTGGCAATCTTTGCTACTGCTTGGCGCTTATTTCCTAAAATACGCTTTTAGGAAAAGCCATGTTTAACCTGCTGCCAAAGAACAAGCCTGTCCGTGTGTCCCATAAGCCTGTGTCTGCCCAGGTTTTCCACAGAACCAGGTACTTTAAAGACAGTGGCAGCGTGAACGCTTGCCCCCTGTCTTAGCAATCACAGCGACCCTGTGATTCTCACAGAGCCCGGCATTCCACAGGTGCCTTCTGCGGCAGAACATCAGATCCCCAACACAGGCAAAAGATCGGGATTGCATTGGTCCTCAGACCAGAAGGTCTGTCTTTTGGGGGGTTGTAATCATACTCGGGAGTCTATGGGAGTTGTCCGCAAGGAACAGTGTGTTTGCTAGTGTTTGTCCAAGCATAGAGAGGGAGATGAACCCATGCTGCAATCATGGACCTTTAAATATAAATTAAAAACTTTTAAAGAACTAATACCATTCAGTAGTAAAAAAGAAATAACATGGCCATGGAATAATAACTATGGTTAAATAGTTTTTACTGACACTGGAAAAACTTGTACAGTGGAACCCACTACTGGGTCCGTGGTAGATCTTATGTAATTTGAAGGTGATTATACGTTGCAGCTTAGTTTTTGAAAGACTTTCCACCATCAAAACAAATTTCCTGGAGCATTTTAATTTTCTCTAATTGTCAGGCAGGGTTGCCTTTGTGTTAACATTTTGCACTTTTTATTAAAAAGACTTAATTGGCTAGGTCGCTAGCCTAGCCAAATACTCGTTACAATACGGCCATTCAGTATAGTCCTTAAATTACTGTGACGTGAGCATTCTGAATAGGGCCTGCAATGTGCGAATCACGGCACCTCGCACCTTGCTTGCCCTGGCCCTCTGGCATAAAGTATGTGAGGAATCAGCGCAGAGACTTTGGAATTCTCTTGTGATAGGTGAAGCCATAACATCTTGCTCTGTTACAGTGCATTTTGTTTGACTCCATTTGCTATTTGCTTGTGGGGGTAGTGACTTACTGGTAATGTAAACAAGGTTTTAAAATCAATATTGATTTTTTTTTAATTCTGCAGTCTACTCCGGTAACACAGAGTCAGTATAAGGCTACTTGGAACCAAGTGAGTGGAAACTACTGTTTAAAACAAATGTTTAAATCTGTCGAAGGAAGATAATAGGTCTTGATAGATTTTCTCGCCTCTTTTCTCTTGGGTCTTTTTCAGTTTTATCATGTGGTTTGAGACGATGTTTATGTCGAAATAATACCTCAGATGCTGTGATGGCACAAGCACTTTTGTCCCTTTCTAACTGACAGCAAAAGATTGAAAACAGAGCCAACTCTGCAGGTTTTAAGCTCATTTATGTTGTTAAAATGTGCTGGGCCCTGTTGCTCCGGGGATACACGGTAAGCAGAAAACAGTTCGCTAAATCTCTCTCTGTGCAGTGCCTAGTTAGCAGCGCCTAGCCAGCAGCGCGGTGCAACCTGGGTTTGCAGTGAACCTGGCCAGGTTTAAATGCAGTCAGGGAACGGAAAAATCATGGTGAGCTGGAACTTACTCATCCACACGTTGTGGGTGTCCCTTCCGCACCAGGGACTCCTGGGTGGGCCCCAGGGACACAGTGGCAAAGCCGATGACCATATCCCGTCCGGCACAGGACGCAGTCTGCCGAGGAAGGTAGATGGCAGCCGTGCGATGACACGTTAGTACGTGCTTTCAAGAGAATCAAGCGTGGTGTGGGGCAGGAGGGCGGGGGCTGCTGGGACCGCGGTCGTGGGGGCAGGCGGCTCCGAGGGCGTGACGCAAACAGAGACGTGGCCAGCAGGAGGCAAGGGTCACCAAAGATCCAGGCGGAAGGAAGATGAAGCCTGGGGACACCGTGGAATGTGGCGGAAGTGGAAAGTGCGGAGGCGGTCAACGTGGTGGTCCTGGCGGGTGGCGACCCACCCGGACCCCCTGGCCGTGCGCTCTGAGTGCCGCCCACCGCGAGCCGTGCGCCTGGCGCCGGGAGGAGCGGGGCGGTCTGATTTGTGTGTGTAAAGGCTGCTGCGGCTGCTCTGGAGGGCGGACCCACAGGTGGCCTGAGCCAGGGCTGGCCAGGTTGCCCAGGCTGGAGCAGGCGTTGTTGGCGCGGCCGAGCGTGGGTGCGGTGGACCTGGTTTCCAGGAAGTCCTCGAGAGGCATGGAGATAAAATAGAACAGTGTGTGAGCTGCCGAGGAAGGTTCGAATTATGAGAATTCATCGAAGTGTTTTGTTTATCCTGGCACAGCTCAGGATTGAAAGAAGATTGTGTGGCATAATTATGATTCCTTTTTTTTTAATATTGCTTACTGTATTCCATCCTTTTTGTAAAAGTAGAAAATAAACATCCCATGAGAAACTGAACCACAAGTTTAGGTAGCTGCTTACTTTTATACTTTTTATTTCAATGATTAAGCAACTTTTTATGCTGATTATTTTAGCCTTCTGGGAATAATCGTTATCTATATCATTATCAACAGCATCTACAGTCTATAAATGGACATAAATATTTATTACGAAATATAATTTAGAGCTCTAACTAAAAAAAAAACCTACAAAAGGAATCTAATTCTTCTTAGCTTTTCTCATTAGTACAATGTACATAAAGGAACTATTTGAGAAAATTATAGCAAATGTAATCTCTAAGGTGCTTAAAAAGCTTTTAAGAGTGACTCGGAGGAGCTATTAATTATGCTGCGATCAGGTAAAAGACCTGCACGCCTTCCTTCTCCGTCTGCCCCTTTCCCTCCAGACGTGTCGCTTCACGCCACCGCGGCCACTTCCTGCTCCAAGGGACACAGGGGGATCAGCCCCGATATCCCAGTGGCTACGGAGCCAACCTGCTTCGGAAACACAGCCTGCCCAAGGACCGGTTGTCAGAAGAACAGCAATCACAGAGGGTCACCCCACCTTCCCCTTCCATTCTCCTGCTTGTGTATCAAAAACATAGGCCCCTCTTGTGTTTTATCGTTGTGAGGGGGCAGGTGTTTAGTTCTGCCTTGGGAAACTGACTCTTCAGTGTCCATGTGGGGTCATTTTCTTCCTTTTTTTTAAATTTTATTTTAATCATTATTCAAGTACAGTTTTCTCCCATTTACTCAGATTCCATCCCACCCACCCAACCCTTCCCACTTCCCTCCCATTACCCCCCACCCCTAGTTTTTGTCCATGTGTCCTTTAAATTTGTTCCTGTAAACCCTACCCATGCCCCCCTGAAATTCCCTCTTCTCTCCCCTCTGGTCACTATCAGTCTGTCCCCTATTTCAGTGTCTTCAGTTATATTTTGCTTGTTTCTTTGTTTTGTTGTTTAGGTTCCTGTTAAAGGTGAGATCATATGGTATTTGTCTTTCACTGCCTGGCTTGTTTCGCTTAGCATAATGCTTTCCAGCTCCATCCACGCTGTTGCAAAGGGTAGGAGCTCCTTCTTTCTTTCTGCTGCACAGAATTCCATTGTGTAAATGTACCACAGTTTATGATCCATTCATTTACTGATGGCATCTAGGTTGCTTCCAGCACCTAGCTATTGTAAATTGTGCTGCTATGAACATCGGGGTGCAAAGGTTC